TTCTAAAATACGCGACATCCTCGCGAGGCACCCAGTTTCCCTTATCGCGTGTAATCGCGAGCAATTCCCATCTGCCGCGATTTTGACGGAAAAACAAACAGGAGATCCTTATATAATCTTGCGATATGGAATTTCGTATTTTAATAAATCACTAATTAAGTGCAAAGTGCACGATCTGCGAAGGATAAATTTCAAAATTAAAGTATTCAATTTTGAATTCAATTAAAATTCAGTTATCTTTCAAAACACGATAAAGGCAATTATAAAAATATATGTAAATTTTCTGTCGTAAAAAAACACGTGAATACATATATTTTTTCTTGGGCAGGTGCTAATGAATTTCATATTTTAATGGATCACTAATAAATACGATTTTCAGACAAAAAATACAAATTTTTAGAATTGAAGTAATTGAACTATTTTCCAAAATGACAAGAAAAATTACAAAAACATATATATATATAAAATTTCTCCTGTAATAAACTATTGATAAACTATTGATTGATAAACTATTGATTGTTTATCGCGAATCTGTACTTAAGAGAAATTGGTCGAAGTCCGTTATTTGCGATTAAGCAACAAGAAAAAATCTTTAAAAAATATTAACTTAGAAAAACATTAACCAATTATCTTAACGAAAGTCACGTCTATTCACCTTAGACTGCGTCTGATTCATATGAAATATTGCCCGACTACAAGAGCGCGAGCGAAAATCCGCCTGCGCGGAGAGAATTGTGCAATGTGGACTCAGCGCGCGGTTGACAATTCTGTTCCTTTTATCACGCGATAGACCGGGAGCGCAGGCGTTGCGCCGTCGCGCATTTGCAACGAGTGCACCATTGTCTTATCGATGGTACGGGTGTCATTAGATAAGAGGCGCCGCGAATGGAGGATGTGCGTGCGGGGGTTAATGCCGCGCGCGCGGGATATGCAAACAGCGTGGACAATGCGTCCGAACGCACGCGCGCGGCAGCGGAATACCAATCGGTGAATTTAAAATGCGCGTTAAGTGCGCTCGCGGCGAGGACGCGAGGGAGCGAATATAAATTATCGCCGTCGGCAAACACGATCGTGGGCGAAGCCGCGTTAATCCGACTTTCATTCGCCGTCGTGTCCCGAGAGCGCCGGCGAGAAATTCGTCGTGGCACATTAATCCCGTGCGTGTTCTCGTTATCGCGTCTATTAAGAAGTGACGCATCGAAAAATACCGGAATACGGCGGCAGATAAAGAACGTGCCAGCGGGCTGCACGCTTCTTCTCCTTCATCGGACGCAGATAACGTAAATTACGGCGTCGTAAATCAATAATTATAAACGGCACACTTTGTGCCCGCATCGCGCGACACGTCCGCTCGGGGCACGAAGAAACGAGCGATCTTTTCAATTACTCCGCGACGAAAGCGCGTCAAGAATCACCTCGAGAGCTCGGAGCGACCTTTTCTCGGCGAGCCCAATGGCCGATCTCGTCGACGTAGTTATTCAATATTTGGTTTAGGAAATTGGGAAATAACAGCGTTATTCATAACACAGATAAATAGAGAGAGGATAAAACATTGTGTATAATAAATAAAAATTAATTACATATAAAGTATATATGGGCTCTAAATTGGAGTGAAATTACAGTCGAATATCGCGCGATGCAGGCAAATTTACTCTTGGCGAATAATGAAGCGAGCGAATGTTTCATTTAAGAGGATGATGAAGTCGATAACGAACTCGAGCAATGTCGATAATGCAGAGATGATTGTCACTATCACTAATCACGCTTTCCTTTTCGTATTTTGTGTACAGAACTTACATAAATGTGTGTTGCTTTGTTTTACCATATTCAGCGGAAAACCTAATCACGCATGCGTAGAAATCTTTCTACAAACTATTCCGATATTCTCAAGCTTCTGAATTCAGACATGAAGGTGCAGCAATGTTTTTAAAAATTTTTCTGTTTGGAACATCCATACTTTTAGTATGTACGAGCTACAGAACTTGCGGGAGCTGCGGATTAGACAAATATTATGCTAACTGACAGTTTGAGATTTTACACTTAAAATTCTTTTTTCGTTTTCGTCACATATTGAGCAATGCCTACTTATTTTTACACGTATTTTCATTACGTACCCGAGCAGAAATTGAAATTGAGTGATTGTCTAGTAATGACACGGAAAAGTTGGGTCTTACATCGCTACTAGCTAGGAATGTAACGCTTCTCGTAGTGGCTGTACCAGAAAAATTATCTAGTAACTAGATACAAAAAAATAACTTGTAATTATGATTGGTATAAGTACTAGACAGTCTAGACAGTTCTGATATCCAATTTTTATCCGGAATTTATCGATGATTTTCTATCTCGTTACTGTGTAATCTTTTTCATTTAGCCACTATCTATGTAACTGGTATAGTTACTAGATAATCCTGACATTCAAAAGACTGAGTAGGAATATTTAGCCAGTCATGAGTTAGTGACTGGCTAGAAAAGTTGTATAGTCATTACTATCTAGCTACTAGTCTTGAAATCTGTTCTACTAGATACATTTTTGCTCCGGTAAAAGCATTTATAATTCTGTACAACCAAAACGTCATAAACTTTGCAGAAAAATCTGTACTCTGTAGGTAAAGTTTTCAGCTTTAGCATTAACATTTTTCGAGTTCATCATCGATATATTCCAGCATCCCTTTAAAATATGTGGATCTTAAAACTCTAAACATAAAGAAATTATGTAAACCTTAAACAAGCGGTAAACCTTAAATTTTATTCAGCGCATTTCCATTTGCTCATAACTTCCGTAAAAATTATCAAAATTTAGTCATTTTTTTTTATTATTGTAGAAAATATCGAGAAATATGAATCTCTATTAATGTTTTCGCGATGAAGCTGAAAAAAGTTGTAATGAAAAAATAAAAATATACACTTTTATAAACGGTAACATTGGAAAAGTTGATCTGGGTAAATTTTACCCATATTCAGAGAGAGTTCTAGGGTTAATTCATGCAAGAATATATTTCAATCGATTAGGGTGAATTTGTCCCTGCGACTGTGAGTTCCATTCCAATTTCAAGTGAAGATATTCACTGGACGACTCAGACTGGACGAATTCATACACTACATAAATGAAAATTTGAATGACTGAAATTTTGCAGTGAAATTTCACTAAAATTTTTACTAAAATTTAAAGGATCAAATCTCTTTTTCCGATATTATTTGTCAGAAAAGAAAGGCGTACATTTATTCATCGCACGGAAGCTTCTTCGCCATTGCCGAGGACAGGCATTGGTTACTTTGCTGTTAGCTCTAATCGACCTTAATTCGCTCGGATTTTCCCGTGGTTTTTCGAGGATCGATATTCAGAGGAGCTCGGCGAAAAAAGGAGAACGTCGAACACGAAAGGGGTAGTTTTTTAAGTTCTCCGGATGTTGACACAGACAAATGGGTCGATCGTCGGATTGATAAATGAACGACGGACTCAGCTGGCTATTCTATGCAAAAGCCTCGCTCGTTAGCACGTCCATCGTGTGTCGGAGGAGTCTCCGGAGCTGAGGATTCGTGTCAGGAATCACGTTCGAAACAGGTCAGACATGAAGCTGTCGTCGTCGGCGCGGAATACCTTTTTCACGGAAAAATAACCAAGAAGAAACGAGTCTCTCTGTGATCGGTTGCATAATCGACGGGCGTTTACTCAAAATCATTTGCATACATTTTCCTGAACTGCGATAACTTTCTTACGAGAGAATAATTCATCTTGAAAACTTCGGAAAAACCGTATTCCCAGGCCGGAATTTTTCAAGAATCGTTGAAATGAAACGCGCGTTTCTTTTGCCGGTAGTGTAATTTATGTATATTGCAAAATAAACTTTAATAAATATTAAGAATGGTAAGCAATGATAACCCGCGTTAACGCACATTATAGCCGGTATATTACGATGACAAAAGAAGTAAAGTGCCGCTAATCACGGCTAGTTTTCCACTTCTACAACTGACTCTGTAACATAAAACGGTAACAGATAAGGTCTTTTATGATACTGATACATGTCCGGTTTGTAGATAATTAAGCAACGTTAAATAACGATACATCAAGGCTTATTACATCCTGTCGGTTATCGAACCGACATCTCAGAAAATGCTGGAGTGTCGCAAATTATATAATGTGGTGTTAAAATTATAACAACGCGTGATTCGTCCTCGACTACACAATTATACCTAATACAATTATACCAATACTTATAATTATAACTTTGGAATAATTACATCATAACTTCAAATTTATTTTTTAAATAAATGTATGCAGAAGTGACTTTTTCCGATTGCTCTTCTTCAAACTAAAATATCAATAAATATGCAAAAGAAGAACTTTTCAATATAACAAAATCGTAATATCACGAGGAGCAGATTTTGCGAATTAATTGATCCAGAATACGAAAACGCGTGAATCCCATATTGACCAAAGGACACGACAACGCACGAAGTAACCAAGCAGGAATGAACTTATTTTTCCTCATCCCCGCATTTCCGCTTCCCGCTATCATTTTTTCCTCGCATTTGCCTTCATTCACCGACTCGAAGGATGTCCCAGCAAGGAAGTGTTGAGCTTTGAGAGCAGGAAGGACAGGAAACAAAGCTGAGGTAGGAAGGAAGAGCGAGCAGCCGTGGAGAGCCAACGAGTGAGGAAGGGAAGTAGGAAAGGCAGAGGACCGGGACGAGAAAGGGGAAGGGCGGAGGGCAGGGGAGGGGGGCGAAGAATGGACTTCCGGTGAAAGCCTCTCGTCTCGAGCACCTGACCTGGACTAACTCGTCGTAAAGGGTCACGAACAGGAAATAATGGTCCGTGGGGAATGTGCAAAGCGAAAGGTGGAGAATAAGAGGACTACGAGAAGAGAAGCGAGACGAGGTGCAAAAGGGACAGCCGAGAGGAGGCCGATGTAGGAGAGCCGGGGAGAGGAAGAGCGAGCAACGTAGGACAGAGAAGTAGAAGCAGAAGAAGAAGCGGAACAAGAGAAATTCGTACTCACGGGTCATTGGTCTTAGGCAGGAGGGTGCCGAGCTCCTTGATCCTGTCGTTGATGTTGAAACGCCGCCGTCGCTCGACTGAAAACGGAAATTGTGCGCATCAATCATGGCGTTCGCGGCAGATGCGAGAGATCGCGTTAATTCGCAGCTAATCGCGCGACCGGATCGACGTGCATCGCACGTCAACGACTCGTACCGAACGATTTGAGTCTTCCCCATATTCCCCAAACCCGTCTACCCAGCTCGAGGTGACTGAAGGGCCGGGGGTTGATTGGTGTCTGTAATTATTATCGAGAGAATGACTTTGTTATTGCTTCGCGTATTGGATGATTTCGTCGAGACCTCTCAGTATCAACTCGGGTAGGATTTTATCGGGGCATGTCCCAAGTCCGTAAAGGGCCTAGATAGGCATGCCCTAAAATAGTAGAATTTCCTAAATAGACTCTAAATAGGCGCTGTTGGGGATATCCTTAATAAGTCCTGCTATCGTTAAGCCTACATATGGCCAAGCAAAAGAATTTCTAAAGGAAAATTCGTAAATAGGCCCAAAATAGGCACAGATGTGGATGTCCGTAGACATCAACACAACAAGACATGTATTTATATAATTCAGTCAGGGTCTCGTTTATTCAATTCTTGAAATAGTTTAAAGTCTTACAGAATTTTAGTTTACAGTCTTAGACTGAAGTAAAATTCACATAAGTTTAAAGTAAAACCAAAATACCTGATTTTGGTTCTCAAAAATACAGTCTTCCAAATAAAGCGGGTCCACATAAGGTTCCACAGCAAGCTTTCCAAAAGATAACTTGGAAATTATATTGAAATATAACATTGAAATAATTTAGAAATATTTGTGAAACATTTTATCAAAATCTTTTTCACTAAAATATTTCAGAAATCGCTTATAATAAGCGTTGATTTATATATTTATATATAAATTTAAATAATTTAACGAAATCTTATATAATAAGATGGATTTCTCTTTCTTTTAATTATACTTCTTTATAATTACTCAAAGTTTATAGTCTTTTATGTCTTTATTTATTTAATAACAATCAACAATAAAAAAATTGTACTATAAAAATTTAAAAATAACGAAATGGAAGTGCGGGATTTTGTAGATCTCATCTCATTAGCTAAGGGTTAAATTAACAATAAAAGTACGAAAAATATAATTTTTATTAAAATTATATCATTTTATTAAGTTATATTATCAAAAAATTATATTATTGTGTTAATCACAACACATATGGACAAAATGTAAGACGTTTATATCGATTGATAAAGTGGCGTAGTGTCTAAGGCAAGAGATTCATAATCCAGAGATGCCTCAGGCAGAGTCCAGGTCGAGTCCCACCAGTGTCAAGTGAGAAATTTTAAATGTGATGTAGCATTGGAATCAAGTAATCTAAAGTTTTCAAATAAAATCAGCAAGCGTTTGTAACCTTTACGAATAGTTTAATTAGAATAAATATAGTTTCTATTAGAAAAAAATAATACGTATTTATACATAAAAGAATATTATTTTCTACTTAGGCATGTCCAGATAGAGCCTATATAGGCGTGCCAGAACAGGGCCTTGTCAAATTTACAAATCAGGCCCTGACTTACAAAAGCGTTACATCTCTGTACAGGACCTATTCTGGCTTGCCTGAATGGCGCCTAGACAGAAATGGGGAAAAACTATCTAAAAGAGGTCTTTACAAGCCCTCTTTTAAATTCCTACCCGGGAAGAAGTCTCTGGCAATTGCGTTGCAACGATCAGCGACGTTAGCGAGTTCTCGCACATTATGAAATCATATTATAAAATTAAAGTTACAAAATGAGAGGCAAACACCTTTGATGTAGATATGTAAAAGTATCTGTGAACATTTCTTCTTCAAATACTTGGTGAAGTTTTTCTACTGACTGCCTCTCCTTCTTCCAGTTGCAATTCCTGGATGAAGGATAGAGCAGACCAGAAGAATAAAAGAATACAAACATGAAGAATAGAGCGGAAGGTGTGTAGGTTTCGCCTATATTTCTTCGGAGCTCGTGTCTAGATCCACCTACGCTCGCGGGCTATTATTTTCCTCGAGTTTACAGCCACTTGGCGCGATTGGGGGCAAACGCGATATCCTCCGATCGCTCGATCCTAATAAACTATATCGTCGTTCGCGCGAATCGTCGAGGGTCGAATTGTCCTATCCCCGAAATACCGAGGTATCGTCGTCCCGTATCGAAGTTATCCGGAGGGGAGGCATATCGCGCTTTCCGGAGGATATAGCGTATCTCCCCTGCGGAAAAGACTGCCGAACCGGATCGCCCTATCATTGGCACGTGACCCCGTTCCCGATCGATTATTCCGGCCAGGTATCTCTCCAAGGTGCGAGAGGTCAAGCCGCGCACGGCTCGCTATCGGCACGACTCCGATATCGCGATCGCGAGAAAGCAAATTTGTCAAAACGCCTTACTGACAGGCAGCACTTCCCCGTTGGGCGAGGGAAGCGGTGCATTACGTCGAAATTAATCGATAAAAATACACCGTCGCGGGACGGCCGATCAATTTCTCCTTCGCTTTTTTTTGTTCGTACACAGATACGCCGATAAATAACGTCAGCTCTTTATCTACGTCGAAATTAATCGACTTCGAGCGCGCGATAAGGATCGCAGAAGTTTCCGGAGAAAACGAGGAAATCATTTTGTTTCCTTCAACGAGGACCACGCACCGTGGAATTTTTTTCGCGTCCCGATCGTACACTTGATAATAAATTATGACTCGGCGATGTTGGGTTACCGCGAGAGATAAATTTTCATCGCTTTGCTTTCTTTATCCGTCATTACGCACAGTTCACAATAAAATAATCTATTCTCAACACACAGAGATCACAACATATATATCTTTATATGTATCGAACTTTTGCATCTGAAAGAAGGAGATCCTAATCGCCCAAGATGTTAGCAAACGCTCTGTCCCTATGAGAGGTAAATATAGTCGGAGAAAAATCGATTTTAAATAAAATCCGTGTCGCACAGTTCTGGAACACATCAAAGCGTATTGCAGACCTACAGTACGCCAAGTCAAATTCTGCAAATTGCTGATTCACGCGAGAACAAATATTTGTAAACAACGTCATGGGACGGGGGACCAGAAACGACGCGACACGATCGAGGAGATCGTGGGAAGCACGCGCGGGACACGAAGGAGCAGCCTTGAAAACTTTGAGGAAGCAGTAACTTCCTCGCTCGCGTACTCGGTTTGCCTCGTAGGAGAGAGGAAGATAGAAAGACAGACGGAAACGGGAACACCAGAGGTAAAGTACGATGAAGAGCGCAGGAAATAGAGAGAGAAAGAGAGAGAGAAAGGGAGGAGGGAGCGCAAGAGCGAGATGGATATTGCGGAGGACGACGAGGAGAAACTTCCTCTGATCCTGCTGATTAGATTACGATAGTTAATTCGGAAGAGGGCGAAGCAGGCTAGAAAGTCGAATGATGGAACACGCAGGAGATGGAGGAGTATGGGGAAAAGGAAGGGGACAAAATACGAAGATCGAAGCTATCCAATTCTATGTCGGGAGGATGCGCGAAGCAATGCTTTTCACTTGGAAGCAAAAGGCACGCTTTCCTAATCAAAGACGACGAGTCTCATCAATCAGCGGGGCCCGTTTCCGGTGGGAAGAAATTATACGAGATACGAGCAAAGATTACGACGAAGCGCCTCATCAGTCTGGGCCCGCGTCTCCGTGCGAAAGGGAATGCTAAATTGCCCTTTAACCCCGAGCGAGCGAACGCGCGACGCGAACGCGCTGCTTCGCGGCAAGAAAATGATTTTCTTCCTATACCTGAGGTTATCGCAAGTTACTTCAAATAACTTCATCCATCTCTTGAACCTTAACGGATTAAGATACACCGGATTTACATGAATAATATCGAAAAATTCGATATGTGCACTGAGAGAAGAAATACCTAAGAAATAAAAAATATTTATTCACGCGGACTAATAACGCATATTTACTTAAATTTATATATATATATATATATATATATATATATATATATATATATAATAGAATATCTGTCTCTTTCTGTATGTTCTCTATTAACTTTTAAACTATTTGACTAATCTGGACCAAACTTTTTCATAGTTATTCTCTAGAACTCTGCGGAAAATATAGGCTACATGAAACCTGAACTCTCCCCTTGACTTCATCTTCTTGACACTTTGTGATAACCCGAGCAACACCAGGTAGTTTAAGCTAGTATAAGATATTTTTAAATAAGGAAATATACATTTTCTTAAAATTTTACTTTTTTTAATTTAATCTAAGTCTTTCACAAAAAAAATGGTTTATTCTACTTGAATAAAAAATTTTAATTTAAATAAAAATATACCATTAGTCCCCCGCCATCGAATAAATATTTCTTTTATATATCAACTATCTTTTCTCCCATGCGTACAGTGTACTTATCAGAATTCTATAAACAACGTATTTTATGAAATTTTGAAGATTATTTTCCCCAGAGAATTTCGAAATGAAGATCGTGAGAGAGAAAATCGGCAATGTCGAAATTACCCGAAATTAAAGTTGCTCCTCAAGAAACGAATAAAGAGGATAAAACACCGCAATTAATAAAAACGGACAAATTAGAAGAAGGAGAGATGCGCTCGCAAATGAACTCACGCTCGCACATTTGTCGCGTGGAAAAACGAAGAGAAAAAAAAAGGAAGAAAAAAAGATAAGTCCCGTCGATGCATAAGCAACGCCTTTGTTCCTCGCATATGGTACACGTAGAACACCGCGCGATCGACAATGCACCGCGGCATGCACAATAGCGGTCAAATAAGTAGCGGGACAAAAGGTGGGGGAGGGAGAGCGAATTAGCGGCGCGACGCGCGACCATTTTTACGAAATTCCTCGTTTATTTCCTATACTCCCGTGTACTCCGCGGCCGTTACTTCGCCATTCTCTCTTACAAGTTCAATCCTGCTTGCTTCGTCCCGCACCTCCTCCGCCAGCCAGCCGTCCGGCAGGTCGGCCTTTCATTACGTCCGCGATTGTTTACGGAAAGTTGAACGCTCCAGTTCCTCCCAATGCGGCTGGGAGCACTCGCTATCCGCCCTCGATTTCCGTTTGTTTCGTTCGCGAACGTTGCGTGCATTTTTTTTTGCAATTCCAGCGACGCCTTAATCGCGAGAGACAACGATGAGGTGGAGTTGGCGCGGATCGCGACTCGGAGAAGTCGTAACTGACGAATAAGTCCAGCTAAAGACCACGATGGTTAACGCAATTTCCCTGCTAAGTGACGTTACGTTATTGTTACGCGAATTACACTAATAATATTATTTCGCGTTATCGCGTTTTATTCTCGCATTGGAGCCGGAGAGACACGGGAATCTACTCAACATGAATGCAGGTGCCCGTTAAGTCCGAAATTGTTCTTATTTACGAGAATACATTAACACTGGAATAGTACGAGGGAGAAAAGGGTGATTTCTCGTGCGAAAATAAATCGAAATTGTGGAATATATCTTGTGTCCACTTGTCATTCCGTTTGCAAGAAAAACGACTTTGAAATTGTACACGCGTGCACTTATACAACTAAGACATTAAAAACTACCGTACTTATCGCAGAAAAATTTTCGCCTGGCGAGAACTCACTTGAACCGTATCTGAAGAGAATCGAACATTCCTCTCTTGCACGCACGGTGCCATTGTGTATGTGTGAATGCCATTTTCTAGATAAAATTTTCCTTGAAATTTCCAATCAGGCGTATCATATAAAATACTCGTGCATTATGATGCTGATTATTCTAGAAATTACCAATTTCTCGAATAACCAACAGCCACGATGTCTGACTATTTGATACATGGAAAAAATATTGTAATAAAAACTACAACATTTTTGCAACCTTGGACCATATCGATCGAAATTATTATATATTTGTTGAAAAATGTTATGCGTGATTGACTTTTTACTACATAATTGTTACTACATAATTACTTGAATGTTCTTTGCATCATATATACCAGGCAGAAATCGTCAAATTTACTATTTCTACCAATAATTTATACCACAATCTTGGTGTCTAGAACTTTGCAAAAAATATTAAGAAAAGAAATATAATTTTAACGTCATTTCTATCACAATATTTTCTCCGTATATATGTGTGTATATGATTTCCGTGTATATGATGTTCCTGGTCGAAAGTTTCAAATATCTGTGCTAAGAAATAGCACTATATTTATAAAATTTAGTCAGAAAAAATACGTCAGAAATCACCTATTTCTCGCATTTGCGAATTTCGCCACATTTAAAACGCGCAAATAAAAAAACAAGTGTAATGAGTACGCACGTGCATCTATCGCGCGGGATTCGCGGAAAATCCGCGATGCCTCGGCGAGGTTTATCGCGTCGCGACGGAAAACAAGGCGGGATAATTGATGCTCGCTGATTACTCGGTCAAATCCACGAGATCGCCAGAGTCGCGCGCACAAAACGCCCGCCAGCGCGATTCGGCGCCGTAACGCGTATCGCATCGTAAAACGGGGACGGTAAAAGCGCGGTGACGTTGTCCAAATATCGCCGCTCGAAAATTGTTTATCCGCTCGTTACGCGCGCCACCACTATGGCTAATCCATTTCGTCACCTTAATGAGAATCCCTCACGATAGCATACCGTGATCGGTTTTCGACGTTCGACACCTTCCCCACGACAAAACGCCCGACGGCTGCAAATCGATTGGCACGTCGCTCGTAAAAAAACAGCGCGCGCGTGTGTGTGTGTCGCGCTTAAAAGTATTAAATCTCAAGCCTGTGTGCGTTTCTTTTTATTTACATATAACATCTCTCGTGTGTAATTCTATTAAATTAAAGAATGCATGGTGCGGCATGTGCGATAATAGAGGAAAACAGCAACATCGTCATCAAAGCAAGAGCGAAAATTAAATTTGCAGTGTTATCATTATATAAATACACGCGCATCGCGTGTCCTTGGGAAAAAATGAATATATGAAATTTTATACGACACGTGCGCCTGTATTTGTCACACAATTACTTATCTTCATTGCTTATTCATCACGCGTAAATTTGAAGAATTAAGATCATCCAATGTAACGAAGAACGACAAATGTGTTATCGTTGAAATAGTATGATCCTCGACAGTACTGTGCACTCGAGACGCTGTGCTGTTCGCGAAAAAAAACAAAAAGATTATTTAGAGACATTGAATTTTCTCTCCTATGAAAAAGTAATAGATTCAAGAAGTCATCGTCGACGTAATAACGAGAAACGACACGCGGCAATTTTCATTAAAGTTACAATTCACGCTGACAACGTGAATACGCGAAGTTATATTTGGTCGGCCGTCGTTGTTCATGTCAACAGATAACAGACAGGCACTAGTTTAATTGACTACATTTGCGATAATAATAGGCGGTCGATGTCGGCGACGCACGCAGTGAACGGGGCGACACTCTTCCATTGTCATTTAAATACTCCACTTACGTCGTAGCCTCCGTATTGACATAAGTGTAACGTGGTAAATGTCGACGACGATGACAGTGTAATGGTAGCAAACGAGACACCGCCGATTGCTAGCATTCAGGTGTAAATTACACAACGGCGCCTATCAATTATTGCTACACGGATAAACACGGGAACATTTGTTTGCAGTCTGCCTATCGGGCGACATTCAAAACGGCTCTATCATGATGAAAACGTTAACCTTACCCTGTTGGCAGCCACGTGCACGAGGCACGAGGCGCGAGGCGGAATTTGCACAAGCGCGACATTCGAGGCTTTATCGTGCCAAACTCGCGTTTTTCGCAATTCTACCGCGAGCGCGAACAAATGAAAGACAAACCGTTTTATATATAAATATTTTAAGTATCATTCACCGAAATTAACACACTGGCAACGAAACGTACGTACACTGAGTCACAAAATGTTTGAACGCATTTCTAGCACTGAAGTTGCAGCGCTTCAAGATGTCAAAATTGAGAGGCATTGCTGATGCCTATGAATCGGTTATGATAAGAACAGAAGTGACAGTAGAAGATGTGAAAATAAGTATAAGATAACGTGATGACATTAATGTTAATATTCAATTTTGACATTTTGAAGTTGCAATACGCTCGAAATACGCCAAACCGTTTTGTGGCCCAATATACTCATTATTTGAATATTTGCTTGGTCCAGAAAATTTTCGTAAATTTAATTCTAGAAATTTTTTCTTGATTTGCAGATTGTGTTAAAATTATATGTATATATATATATATATATATATATATATATATATATATATATATATAACGCGTCAGAGTTTTTAAGGAGGTCAGAACGTTAAACATCACATCGTGGAAATTTACATTATTGGATCTAAATTACTAAAAATCTAAATTAATGAATCTTCAAATTACTGTGAAAGACACGGCTCTAGTAATAATCTATAAATTAATATATGAAAATATGGCACGGTAACTCTTTGACGAAAGTACCAATCGAAAGGAGCAGCTCCACTTACTCATGTTGTGGTTATCCTTCTTCTGTCGGTCCTTTGCAAGGGCGTGGATCTCCGCCTCGGTAAGCAGAAGAGGTTCCGGCTTAATTTGAAGCTCCGGTATATTCGTTAGACTGCCAGCTTGGCCGTCCTTCAATCCGTCACCCAAGGAGCCAGCCTCGAACGACAGGATGTCGTCCAGGAGGTCCTCAGCCTGCAATTAGAGCGGAAACACGTGCCGTCATTTAAGTGAAATTAAGTTGCGCAAACGACGTTGTAAAAAAAACAAAAAGCACACTGCGCGGATTTTATAACTTTTTAACGGCCGGGGGAAGAAATATACTACACCTCGGTCGCGTTCCGTTTAAAATCACGCCAAAAATGTCGCGGTTATCGTAAATCACTATCTGTGCGCGAAAACGACACAACGTACCGAAATCGTATTGAAAAATTCAACTGGCCATCGACACACAAACGACAAAGAGAGAGAGAAAGAGACAGAAAAATAGTGACCATGTCCACTAATCGATGTGATTTATTACCATTCCGCGTCCCATAGATTCACTCGGCGAGTGATTCGTAAATAGAAGAAACATTACGCGATCGATGCAACGTACTTTTACGAGTCGTTCAGTGATAAAGTGAACTCGTCGTCGTTCTCATGCGCGACACATTACCGGTACTCGCTCGCGGTGGCTAATGCAATTTTTCCACGAGACGGAATCTCACGATCGACGCAAATGATCGTTCCGTGAAGGGTAGATAGACAGGTAGGTAGAGCAGGCGGAGCGAGGGGAGGGGAGGAGGGAGAGGACGAAGCCACAGAGGAAGAAGGAATTCAAGAGGAGCGAAGGAAGGGTGCGCGATCGTTAATAATTCTTGGGAGCGAGTGAGCGAGCGATCAGCGCCGTTCGCTAAATCACCCTTTCAAGCCTTAAAGACTCGTTGTCTTCGGCGCGCAAAGCTCTCCGCGATATATCGGCCGTAATGTTATTCACAGCCTCGATAAAATGATTCACGCATCGACGTGGCCGTCGCCGTCGCGAAATCGAACTCGTTCGGCCGCCGCGAGAGGCGTTTATTCACAGCTTCCTTCCCAACGTCCGTTCCATATTCCGCGCGCTGTGTAATTTTTCGCCCCCGCGAGTGTCCGATAAGTGATCGCTCATCGGGACGTGATACGGATTTAAGTGCCAAACATTGTTCGCCGCCGTCGATAAAGCGCGAGACGCGACGCGTGATTCATAACGATAAATCGTCGCGTCCGATTCAGTGGAAACCACGCGGCCTTTTTATATTCTCGCGATTATCTTCGTAACGTATCGCCTTGTAAAATGAAGATTGCGCAAAGTGTTGCACCGATTCAAGATAAGAGTAGAATGCGAAATATATATCCCGCTACGATTGAGGTAACTTCCTCGTGGCATTAATAACTAATTGTGTAACTCTAATTTACGGGTCTCTTTTTATTTCTGACTGCGTACCGATCGAGGAAATATCTAAACATCTTTCCAGAGTAAGGTCTCTTTGACTGCATAAGAATTTTAATTAAAAGTGATATTTCTCTAAATTTACAGAAATCAATTGAGAAGGTGTTCGTCACATCATTCTCAAGATTAAGATATTTTCCTGACGATGTGACTGTGCAATTCTAATTTCTAGTTTTCTCTTGCTTCAGGATATATCAAGGAAAATATTCAAATATCCCCTCAAAGTAAAATTCTTTCTGATTGTAAGAATTTGAATTAAAAATAATATTTCTTTGAATTTACAAGTAGAAATCAATCATCAAGAAGGTACCTTCATTGAACATGGTAGTTTTCTAGATTAAGGTATCCTCTTGACGATGACTGACAATTATATAATTTTAATTTCCAAGTTTTTTGTTTCTTACTTCAGAATACATCGAGTAAAATTCGAGTGTCCTTTCAAACTAAAATTTTTCAAATTGAAAGTAATATTTTCCCTGAGTTTGCAGAAATCAATTAAGATACCTTCGTTAAACATCACAATTGTCTAGACTTCTAGTCATCACGGTGGCAAACAGAACGGAAGACGCTCCCCGGGAGGCATTGTCTCTACATTCGTAAAAGGATTAAGGGCTGCGATTGTCGCGCGTAACTGCAGTTCCGAACAAGATGCGAGTCTCAGGGCGCGCTTCGTCGATGTGAGCGTATCGCGACTGCTGCTGCTGCCGCTGCTGCTGCTGCTACAGCGACGGCCGCGTATGTGCCGTTACGTAAACATTACGTAAACAATAATAAGCGAGCTCCGTCGGCCTGCGGAACAACGTTTCGACGCCGACTGTTGCCGCGAACGGGAGATGAATCGAGTTACCTCTCGGTTCGACGAGCGCACTTTGACGCGAGCGAGCCGACAAAAGCCATGCGCCATGGCTGCGAGCGAGAAACACGATAATTGTATAATGGCTCGGATGTGCTAGTAAATGTACAGGGTAACCTGCAAGTCGAACGCGCCTACCACGACGAGAGGTCAGAACTCAAAGCCGACACCGCCTAGACAATAGTTTCAAAACAATTAAAAACCAAATAGTTAATTGGCCGTAGTTATGAAAAAATCCAATTTACAAAATGATTTTTTTTTTATTTTTTCTTGACAACAGGTAGTCTATGCGTTTATCTAGTTAAAACAAAAAAGCCATATGGATATTTAAAATTATGGATATCTTATGGATATCTAAAATTAATTAAAAGGAAATTTTTATTTTTTACTAGTTGCGTCTTTTTTATCCTTTTTTTAAGTTAAATTTGTCAATAAATACAATTAGAGAGAAGAAAATTGCTTGACTTGTTGAACGAATATGAAAAACTTACTGCTATTTATATTTCTTGAATCATGTATCAAATCTTCGAATCATACTGAAATTGTAATATAAATTACTACAGAAATAATAAATTTGATGATTCTCTACCTAGTATGTGACATAAAAAACATTCAAGTAATTGCAATAATTTCGTATTAAAAATTCAAATGTACGTAATATTTTCAAAAAGGATGTATAGTAATTTCGATCATAATTCTAAATAGTTCAGAATTACAAGAATTTCATACTACAATATTTTTTCCGTGCACTAGCTAAAAAATCATAATAACTGACGAAAATTGATTAAGAGAAAACGCAGGACATCTTATTGCAATATCGAGCTAGATCACACATATGCGCAGAAGGGAGGACAGGGACTAAGATCAAAATCGAGCACACTTTGCGGACTTTATGTGCATGAGGTACGCTGCACCGTTAAAAATCGCGCTGCCGATATCCCCTAAGAAATCTGCCCTTAATACAATACACGAGATAGCAACAGGACACCCTGTACGCGCGAGGAATGCGTACACGCCGAGAAAGAGGCAATTTCGACATACGACGAGGATGAATGGCGGAGTGGGAAGGAGATGAGAAGCGACTGCCTGGATGACAGAGACAACATTGATCGTCACTGCGGTCAATGAAACTGATACGCGCGGAAAGGGAGATCGGTGAAGGGACTATAATATATGCGATACGCGATCAAAGTGAATTGCTCCTGCAACGCGATGACGCACGCACAAACACTCGCGATCGGACATTTAACTCCGCGCAGCGCACTTTTACCCTGAGATTCTTCTTGCATAATGCAATCGAGATTATTAATTGGAAGAGAGGAAAACAAATAATTGCGGCATCCTGGAATTTCGCGAAGCAACACGCGTGCCATGATTTCCACGGCATGGCAGAGTTTCAAACGGTGCGTTTTCTATCCGAAAAAACGTGAAAAATTTATGTAACGCATATAAAATATCACGCCGAAATGATAACGCGCAAACCTAAAGATTCGCCGATAGCGACGTAAAGTTAATGTTATTAGGTTTTTCATGGCTTCTGTTACGTACGCGTGACTTTATTATGCCAGCGTTTATCGCTTTTACAGAAACATGTCGTTACTAAAACCTCCAATGTGTTCTTTGCTTTCTGTTTCTTGTTCTCTATATTTTCTCTGACTAAAGGCTAAAGGTCTAAGAGATAAAAGTAAAGAGATAAAAAAAGAGATAAAGAGAGAGAGTTAGAGGAAGATAAAGGGAAAGAAACAAGAAGCAAAGGGTACACTGTAGATCAGGCTTAAGACTTTTGTTCCCACTGCTGCGGAATCCTGGATTGATGACGTCAGAAAGAAAAACACGCGCCAAAAATTCCTTCATTTTTAAGTAAAAAGAAATATATGAAAAGAAATATATTTATATAAAAGGAAGAACAGATATATCGCTTGAGTGTGTTTGTAAAATGTTTTGAGAATTATCCTTTTCTTTTGACAGTCAATAAATAGCTTTAAAATTGACGTGACTTTCTTTAACTTATTTTTCCTCGTGATTTTACCACGTTCATTTACGGCTATTTGTTGACTGCCAACAGAAAAAACAGTTTTCGGAATATTTTACAAGCGAATATTTTACGCTCAAGCGAAATGTTCTTTTATACAAATATATTTTTATTTTAAAATAGCACACAAAAACTATTGCCATGCGTTTTCTTTCTTAATTAACGTTATATATACAGAGTGTCTCACACTCTCCTCCGGGTATTTTGTGGGGACGTAGAACAGATTGAAGTGAACATAAAAGTTCTATACCGTTTTGCGATATTCGCAATAATTATCGAGATATTAATTGTAGAAAATTTGTGAATGATCATGCAGGATATGGTAAATGAGTTATAGTAGCGACGACTGCCGTCGTGTACTTATACTTTAGGTCAAATTGAACAAAAAAGTCTTCTACCATTTTTGAAATAATCACATAGATTTTTAATTATTAATTAAAGAAGATTATTGTGCAATTTTGCGTAATAATGCACTCATCTTCTTTAATTAATAATTAAAAATCTATGTGATTATTTGCAAAATGATAGAGGACTTTTTTGTTCAATTTGATCTAAAGTATAAATACACGATAGCAATCGTCGCTATTATAACTCATTTACCATATCCTGCATGATCATTCACAAATTTTCTACAATTAATATCTCGATAATTATTGCGAATATCGCAAAACAGTATAGGACTTTTATATTCACCTCCACCTGTTCTACGTCCCCACAAAATGCCCGGAGAAGAGTGTGAGACACCCTGTGTGTGTGTGTGCGCGCGCGCGTGTGGTGTGTGTGTGTGTGTGTGTGTGTGTGTGTGTGTGTGTGTGTGTGTGTGTGTGTGTGTGTGTGTG